CAGCAGTTAATCGTGCGACAGTTCCACCGCCCATGAGATACTGATGGTGGGGTTGCTGCTGCGTGACATTTGTTCAGATAATCTCTTCTTCAGAGACGTCCCTTATTCTTCTTGGATTCACCTCTTCGTCACTGGAACTCATGATCCAAAGTGAGTATCCTTGCCAATAGTACAATCTTGTGTAACTTCTAATTCTTTCTCAAGAATCAATCCCTTTTTCAAGGGAGGATAGTAACAGGGTAATCAAACAAACTTTTTCGCGGGAATACTCGTGGTTAAAGTTCTTTCCCACAGACGGCACCAATCTGTTGACCCTGAAAAATGGCTCGAACATGTGGCCAACAAAATAAGTCTTCATGCCAGCTTCTCCTCGAGTACAATAGCACACCGTTAGTCACTCGTGGCCTTTTTCGGTGGGGTTGGAAGCGGCCGTGAGCACTCCGACGGTCAAGTTAGTGTTTTAGCTAATCGGGAAGTTATGTCCAGCGGCAGGGTGGTCACCGAGATGTTCAAGTATATGTTGAAAGTTAAGATGTAAAGATAGCGAAACTCAGGCCCCCTACTCTTACCAGTATGAGGGTATTTATACTAGGAAATGGAAGAGGTGGACCGTTGGATGAAGAGACACGTGGCTTCAGTTCCCGTATAAGTCATCAACTCATAGGTGTCAATCCTTCAATCCATAGGTTGGCGGACATTAAATGGTTTCTGACATGTCAGCCACATTAAATGGTTTATGACTTGCCACACATCCCATCAATTAGTCAGGAACTTGATTGAAGATCACATAAAAGATTTTGATAGAGAAGAGGCGAGGCGAAATGAATATGGAGTGTGGGCCTTTGCATATGCCTGAATGGCGGATAAGTTCAGTTCTTCTACTAGGCGGGGCAATAATGTCTCGGTTCGGAGTGAAGAATCAGTTCGTCCGTCATGGATTCAATTCATCTACCACATGGCACAACAAATTAGTTTGGCCAAAAAGTGGCGGATGAGGTGGATAGACGAGGTGGAGGTCTCAGAAAGCCCGTAACAAAATGTTAATCACTTATTGATCACAATTCATTTAAGTTACCTAAACAAAAACGACATTTATCTTCCAAACAAATGTATTTCAGCATTTTTCTCTTCTGCACTATAGTATACAAATCCAATTCACTCAAAATTCAGGATCACTATATCAAATAAAATCTCCATTCCAAGGAAAAATTTGCATCATTTAATCAATTATTTCGACGATGCAAAAAAAAAAAAAAAACACAATGACAATGTGCAGTAACAAATTATTCTTACATGAATCATGTTGATGTACCGGGCCCTCGTGGCCTTGGACATATATTTTTATCCATTCTAACAATATGAAATAATAGAATATGATAGTAAATACAATTTCAAGAGACAGACGACATACTATTTGAGAAATGGAAACTAATAAATGTTACATTTGCCTTGATATCATTCCCAGGTTGGTGATGGATGAAGATAATATGGAACTTAACTATCTCCCTTTTATTAATGAGGTATAGTAGGCAACATATTGATACGATACTAGCGGGTCTTGATGGATCCTTCTCTCTCTTTTTCAGCGTTGTAGAGATATTATTCGGGATGATGTGTTTAGACTAGTTCTAGATTTTCTTGTTGGTTGCACCTACCTGGGGATTTTGCTACTACCTCTATTGTTTTGATCCCTAAGCGAGACTATGCTTGTACATAGATGGAGTTTCATCATATTAATCTGTGTTACTGTGTATAGTATTCAATAAAGTGATCATGAAATTCTTGAACACTTTTTTCAGTTCTTTGATATTGTGCATTATTTCTCCATAGTAGAGTGGGTTTATCTCGGTATGGCTGATTGAAGATGACGTCTTGCTAGCTCAGGAGTTGCTTCATACTCTAAACTCTAGGACGAAGTGGAGCAATGTTGTCCTCGAGTTGGATATAGCTGGGACATATGACCACATGGATTGAGGATTTATATATACTATCTTGGATGACTTTTATTTTACCAACTATTGATAGACCTAATCAGTTAGTTTATCTCAGAGTGTTGATTCTCATTACTCCTAAATGGTTGAGCTAGTAGATTCTTTTTTTAATCCCAAGGACTTTGACAGAGGATCCCATATTGCCATCTCTATTTATTATAGTTGCAGACTACTTTTTATGACTACTTACACATTAGTTAATCTTACTAAGGGATGCATACATGAAGGTACCACATTCATTTTCCATATGTCATTTGCTGATGATATGATCATCTTCATCAATGGCCAGATAGGGGTCCATAGATAAGAGTAGACTTATACTGCCTAATAGGGGTGCTTACTAGTTTATTCAGAAAACTTGAGCACTTGATTGATTTCGACATCAGCAACAACCATTATACGATAACCTTATAAGCGGAACTGTTCTCCTTTGCCTAGAATGATAATATAAAAACAGGGTCAATGGATCTTTCACATACTCCCTCGTATCTTTCCCTATTAGTTACCCGGTAACTAGATTGACTCTCCTTATCAAGAGATTTCATCTAGTTCGAGGTGGAAGTTGTATTAACCCGCAAGATCTACAGAAGGTAAGGATCATGACTTTAGGTTGGGGAAATAGACTATTATCATTAAAGATGTGATGAGGATTTGCTTAAAAAAAGTTTGACACCAATTCAGAGCAAAAGAAACAATGATATTTCACTGGAGAGGGAACCTAGCTTTCAAAAGCCTTTCCACTAACATCAAGAAAATTGGCAAAAATTCCTCCACATTACTTAATTATATCCATGGCAGCGGTAGCCAATCCGGAACCATTCACAATACACCAATTTCTCGACCTAAACCAATTTTACTAAAGTTCTTTTGTTGCAGCAACCAGTCAATCTATAGACAAGAAAAAAAAAGGTGAATATAGAACAAGAGATATATGTAAAAAGGGAAAGATTTTGAGAGATTGCAAATCGGAAAGGATAAACGAATCAGAAGGGATGCCGGAGGTGGTGCCGATCAGTGGCGAATCCAGGAATTGTAGTCCGCTAGGGCGACCATTAACCGTTGAACATTGACGGCCGCAATAACGAGATCATTTATTAATATTTAATTAAATAATATTAAACGACTTCTTTATGTTATTTAACATTAAATTGAATTCGAAACTTCTTTGTATTATTTAACGACTTGTGTGCTCGATTAGAAATAGTGATGGGACCAGATGCACCACTAGAAGAACTAGGTAGGGACTTTGGTTTCTAGTGAAGAAATCATTCTATAATCTATATGATAATTAAACATAAATCACAGATTAAATTAATAAACTGTCATCAAATTTCAATTTCCAAATTCCAACACCAATTTATTATTTATTACAAATCAGAGTCCACACTCCACAAATATCACATATTTTCAAATTTACAAAATCCTCAATTTTCATAAATCATAACATCAGGCTCACAAGTCATAGACTCACGGTCATACTCATAAAACATAAAATCATAATTCATAAATCATAACTGATTAATTCATAATTTTATAAATGATAAATCAAAAAATGAACTAAAAGAAGAAAAGCTAAAAAAAATGAAGAGAGGTAGTAAGCTCATCGCTCACATCACATCGTCATAAGTGGAGTCAGTTATCGACGATATAGTGGGCAGTGGAGGAGACCAGAGAGGCTTGGCGTCGACGACGACTCTGCGGCATTAAACCAAGTAAGTTGCATCCATCCTGTATCCAATCGATTGGGCCTATTTTTTTTAAAAAAAAAGAGGCCCAAAAGAAAAGGCCCACCATTTTTTAAAAATTAGCCCAATCCACTTCTGTCATATTCCAAACCACGCCTTGCACGGTTGTAGCTGCGCTTCAACCTTCCAAGTTTTGTCCCTCGCTCTCGATGAGACTGAAGATTCTGGCGGAGCTAGCACGGACAGTCGCGCCTCATTGCTGAGTACTGGCTCTGTCACTAGTGCCGATGGTTCGCATGTTGCAATATGACATACGATGAAAAGGAAGGCGGTCAGTAATATTGTTTGATTACTGTGGCAGACTGCATATTAGTAATTGATTTATGACATGTTACTTTTCCTATTAATTTCGTAATTAATATGACAATTGAAATTATTTAATCAATTTCCTAACCATAAATAGGTAGAAATCCTAATTTTATATTGAGCATATTTTGTTTGAAAAGTGCATCTTATTATTTAATACGATAAATTGTCTATTACGAACTTTAAATAGCTAATACAACATTAAAATTAATACCTTAAATTATTTAGCTTTAATATACTAAAAACATAAGTGCATAATTTTGCATTGTAATTTAAAGAATTAAAATAATCGTTCGGAACTAAGAAATGGAACTATTAGAGTCCTATAAATTCACAAATAAAGTAGTAATTCTAATTTTGTTGTTGACCTATGCCCCCTATTTATGTTGTCACCATTATTTGCTCATGGACTGCATATATCAAAGAGCTTTTATCGTCAATAGCCCTCGTAGCTGACCATATGTCTAAGAGCTTTCATTGAAAGGACAATGTTCGCACTGAAGGGTTCATACGAGGGTATAATTGTCAAGATTGAAACAGTAAATCCTACTTCCACAGTGACCATAGATTGAGGACCATTGTGCAAATTAACCAATAAAGTCATTGACCAGGTCTACTCGATTATCTATGCACGTGAAAGTGGGCCCACATAAATATCTTTTTAACCCTAGTTAGGCCAATAGGTTATTGACATACGTATATCCTCCAATTATTGGCCATCTCTTTCCAAAATTATGAGATTCTCATGTTTTTATTATTATTTTTGTTTTTTTCTTCACGAAAAAGTTATCCTTAACCATGGGAATCGTAAAAGCTAAAAAGCGCAGTGCGCATGTGGTTTACCCTAACCATAACTACCTTTTTCCGCCTATATAAACAGTGTTCTGCTTCCATTGAAAACACATCTCATTCTTCCCCAATTTTGATTCTCTATCTTCTAAATCTAAAGTTAATATCAATGGCGTCTGCAGATGTTGAATACAGATGCTTTGTTGGTGGTCTAGCATGGGCCACCACAGACCTTTCACTCGAGAAAGCCTTTGCTCAATTTGGAGAAGTCACCGAATCGAAGGTCCGTTAGTCGCAGAGATCGTATCCGTCTCGATTCGGCTTTGTTGACTACTGTTAATATGTTACTGTTACTGAGTTACTATTTCCGTTACTATTATTTTCCCCTGGAACGGTACGTTCCATCTTCCTTTCTGTTATCAGGAGATGAGGATCGAATCGCTTTTCAGTTTTCATTTTGATCATTTTACTACGTATGTTATAGATCTGTTTAGATCTGATGAATTTTTGGAATTTTCTTATTTAGATTATTAATGATCGTGAAACTGGAAGATCGAGGGGTTTTGGATTCGTTACCTTCAAGGACGATCAGTCGATGAGGGACGCTATTGAAGGAATGAACGGTCAGGATCTTGATGGCAGGAATATTACTGTCAACGAGGCTCAATCTCGCGGCGGCGGCGGCGGAGGATTCCGTGGTGGTCGTCGTGAGAGTGGCGGCGCCGGAGGTGGCTACGGCCGTCGTGATGGAGGCTACAAAGGAGGAAACGGTGGTGGATATGGAGGCGGATACGGTGGCGGCCGTGAACGCGGATATGGCGGTGACCGTGGTTACACTAGAGGCGGCGGTGATTCCGAAGGCAACTGGAGGAATTAGGTTTAGGGTTAAATGTTCTGTTCGTGATTTCGATTGTGTGTAGGTTTCTAATGCTATGTTTGGTGTTACTGTCGTTTTTGGTCTCTGGTTCTCGTGGTTACTTTCTCCATGTATAAATAAATATTTGCAGATTTCTGTGGAATGAAGTAAATTGTGATCTTTAAAAAAATTGATTTTGATAATTGTTTTCGATTACTGATTGTATGTCCAGATTTTATTTGAATGCCAATGCCTTAGTTCGTCCATTAATCAAGAAGCTTGGACTTCGTTAAGATTCAGAACTTACCTTAAATTCTTTTGAGTTAATAGGGGGGGTAAAAGAAACGAGAGCTTATAGTTACATTTTAGCTGATTATTTTAGTTATGTACACCATGCCCATGATAAAATCAAGATTCAGGAATATTAAAAAAGGAATCCATATCTTCTAGTATATGAAAATGGATTATTCCAAGAATCTTTCGCAGAAATTTTCCACCCCACATGTGTGGGGCCCACCAGAATAAAATTGCCCAAGATACTCACAAATGCAGGTGGGGTGGATTTTTTTTTTCTTTCATTTTTTATTTCTGGTGGGCCCCACACGTGAGTGGGTCTAAAACTTTCCTGTGCATATGGTTTATTCCAGTGTCCCACGAGACCAGAAGCGAATCCAGGATATTAAGGGGGTGTTTGACACCCATTTTAGTAAAAAAATGTGTTTTTGAATAGTGATTGATGGAAGAATATGTGGTTAAAAAGTAAGGAGAATTTTTAGGTTTATGTGTGTTAAAATAATTCCTTGCAGCCAACACTCCACCAGCAGCCTAACAGAATATTCAGTGATGCTGAGATCCCTGAATTCCAGGAGTGGTAGTGTAACCATTAGCCAGCTGATACAATCTGTTGGACATGCCAATGGTGCACAATTCTAGAATATTCAAGCCACGTAAATTAGCTATATAAACCGTGTAACAATGTACAATATTTTATTAAGCTTTTCATCAACATTATCTCTGTTTTTTCTAACTTGGTATCAGAGCCAAAAATGGCTAACACCGGATCAGGAAATCAGTCAAATCCATCCGAATTTAACACAGCACCAGTCACTCAAATGGCTGCAAATCAAAACTTAATGGTTGGGATGAATATCACTCACTAACCATCAGTCAAACTTGATAGAAACAATTTTCTACTTTGGAAAAATATGATCATGCCCATAATCAAAGGGCACAACCTTGATGGATATCTGCTGGGGACAAAGGAGTGTCCACCAGAGTTTTTAGCAACTCAAACCACTGCTCAAACCACTGCTGGACAGGAAGAAGCAGTGGAGATGATACAAAATCCTGATTTCATCAAGTGGAACTCAGCTGATCAGCTCCTAATGGGCTGGCTATACTCGTCTATGACCCCAGAAATTGCAATGAAAGTTATGGGGTGTGAGAGTGCAAGCAAACTCTGGAAATCAGTAGAAGAAAATTTTGGGATATTAAACAAGTCAAGAGTAATGTTCCTTACAGGAGAATTGCAAAGAATTAGAAAAGGATCCATGTCAATGGATCAATATCTGACAACCATCAAATTGTTGGCTCATAACCTGGAGATTGCTGGAAAAATCATAGATCAAAATGATCTGATAACACAGGCTCTATCAGGTTTAGACAAGGAGTACACGCCTATTGTAGTACAAATTAATGGAAGAGAAAGTATCTCATGGCATGAATTATCATCTGTGCTTATGACTTTTGAGAGTCGTCTGGAACACCTAAATCAGGTTAGGAATGGTTTTACCTCACTAAGCATTAATCAGTCAAGTGTTCAACTAGCACAGAGAATTAACTCAAGAAGGAGCAGAGGTTTTAGAGGTTCCAACAATGGCAGATCACCAGGTATAAGAGGAAGGGGAAGAGCTCCAATTGGAAGACAAAATGAAACCAAAGGACCATGCCAGATTTGTGGACTCAACAATCATTCTGCAAGCTAGTGTTTCAATAGATACGATGAAAGATATATGGGAAGCAGGCCAAGCAACTAAGGGTCACAGAACTTAAATTCAGCCCCTTCTGCCTTTATAACATCACCTAGAGCTCTTGAAGATCCAGCCTGGTTCATTGACTCTGGTGCAAGCAACCATGTTACCACTGATAAAGGTAATCTGCAGATTCTGAATAAATATAAAGGTAAAGAAAAAACTGGTTGTTGGTGATGGCAATATGCTGAACATTTCACATGTTGGAAAAGGACAAGTACCTACAATGAATAATAGGCCACTTGCTTTAAATAAACTGCTGCATGTTCCCTCAATTAAAAGAAATTTAGTCCGTGTTTCACAGCTCACTTTTGATAACAATATTTTCATTGAATTTTACTCTGACTATTGTGTTATTAAGGACCTTCAGACGAAGAGGATCTTGCTGAGAGGAGTACTTAAGGAAGGGTTGTATCAGTTGCAGCAGCCAAATCACAATCCAGAAAACTTTACTCTCGAGTCAAACCACCAGAATAACGTTCATTGCTTTGCAGTCGATTCTGGCAGCAGTCTTTTACCTTCAGTTAAACAAGTTTTAGATTCTGAGCTTGATGTCTGGCATAGAAGGCTGGGTCATCCTTCAAACTATGTAATGAGTCAAGTTCTAAAGTTATCAAAACCAATGAAATTCCCTCTTTCTGTGAATCTTGCAAATTTGGCAAATCACATGCCTTACCATTTAGCACCTCTTTGTCACAAGCTCAAAATCCCTAAAGATCTTATTCACACGGATGTCTGGGGACCTGCCCCGTTGAACTCTACCACTGGACATAAGTATTATATAATCTTTGTAGATGATCATACCAGATTCACATGGATTTACCCCATGAAGCACAAGTCAGAAGCCTTGACCATCTTTATTCACTTCAAGAAACTAGTTGAAAATAGGTTGGATAGGAAAATTAAATCACTACAGTCAGGTTGGGGTGGGGAGTTTAGGAGTTTCAGTAAAATCACCCTTGAATCTGGAATTGAATTAAGACACTCTTGCCCCTACACATCAATCCAAAATGGAAGAGCCGAACGAAAACATTGCCACATTACTGAAACTGGATTAACTCTCCTGGCCCAGGCTAGAATGCCCCTTCATTACTAGTGGGAGCCTTTCAAGACTGCAACCTTTCTAATCAATAGATTACCTACTCCAGTCCTTCACCACAAATCACCCTATCAGATGCTGTTTAAGAAAGAGTTTGATCATAAGCAACTTAAAACCTTTGGATGTGCATGTTATCCATGCCTGAGACCCTATTAAAAACATAAGTTTAATTTCCACTCTCAAAGATGTGTTTATCTTGGGCATGGTGACTCACACAAAGGCTATAAATGCTTAAGTTCAAGTGGTAGAGTATACATTTCCAGACATGTTGTGTTCAATGAAAGTGAATTCCCATTCAAAACAGGCTTTCTAAATAAAAAAATCATACCATCCACATTTGAAAATACTTTTAGTCTTCTTCCTGTTATTGATGTTAATCATAACCCCTCACTACAAAATACAGATGCTGCAACCCAACCTTATGCTTCATCTTCAGCAGATCTCTTTGATGAATAAGGTAGAACTAGTGGGGTGAAAGAGGCATTAGAAGCAGAATATCCTCATGATGATGTAGAGGAATCAGCAATTCATGAGACATCTCAAAATCAGCAAGTTGAAACTGAGGCTCAAAATGATTCAGGTAATGAAATTATACAAAGTGGAAATGTGGTTCAAAACACAAGACATCAGATGATCACCAGAGGCAAGACTGGAATTTTTAAACCTAAGATTTATGCAAGCACAACAATGGATGAATCAATAGAAATTGAGCCAGTTCATGTTGATGAAGCATTATCAAATGCCTGTTGGAAGAAAGCTATGCAAGATGAGTATGATGCCTTAATGAAGAATGATACATGGGAATTGGTACCGCACAAGGCTGGTATGAAGATCATTGGTAACAAATGGGTTTTCAAGGTGAAACGTGATTCAAAGGGAAAGGTGGAAAGGCACAAGGCTAGACTTGTTGCTAAGGGTTTTCTTCAAACTGCAGGAGTGGACTTCAATGAGACATTTAGCCCTATTGTTAAGTCCTCAACCTTAAAGATTATCTTAACACTTGCTCTTGCAAAGGATTGGAAGATCAGACAAGTTGACATCAACAACGCATTTCTGAATGGTAGCCTGAGTGAGACAGTTTTTATGAACCAGCCACAAGGTTTTGTGAATAAAAGGCATCCTAGTCATGTTTGCAGATTGAAGAAGGCATTGTATGGTTTAAAGCAAGCTCCAAGAGCCTGGCACGATAAGATGAAGAATACTCTGTTGGATTGGAGTTTTAAGCAATCTAAAGCGGACAACTCCTTGTTCTTCCTGGCAAGAGAAAATGATGTGTTATTTGCTTTAATATATGTAGATGATATTGTAATAACAGGTAATAACAATCAACAACTCCAGAAATTCATTGACAGACTAAACATCAGCTTTGCACTGAAGGACATGGGTGACTTAAAATTGTTTCTGGGAATTGAAGCACATAGAGATTCAAACGGGTTATATTTGAGTCAAACAAGGTATGCCACTGAATTACTAAAAAGGTTTGGGTATGAAAATCTGAAACCCAGCCTCACGCCTATGGCAGTAGGTAAACCAATTTCCAGAACTGATGGACAGGAAATGAAAGATCCTACCTTATACAGAAGTGCAATTGGTGGTCTTCAATATCTGATTCACACAAGACCGGATATGACCTACTCTGTGAATAGGCTGAGTCAATTTCTTCAGGCGCCAACAGATAATCATTGGAAGACACTTAAAAGGGTATTCAGATATCTAAAAGGTACACTTAATCATGGACTCTCTATCTAAAAGAATGACAGCCTTGATATAGTTGCATTTGCTGATTCTGACTGGGCAACCTGCCCTGATGATAGAAGATCTACCGCGGGATATTGCGTCTACATTGGAGACAATTTAGTATCTTGGTGCTCCAAGAAGCAACATGTCGTGGC